GGGGGAAGAGGAAACAAAGGCACAAAGGCAAAGTGACTTCTCTACGGTTCTCATCAAAGCCAGGAACAGAACCCATGTGAAAATTCCCAGTCCAGTACCCCAACTGCTATGTTACATACTTTTGGCAAGGCAAGAGCAGACCATTCATCCTTGCCCAATGGTCCCCTTTCATCAAGCCTTTCTGCTAGATTCTAGGGGCCAACTAATAGCTCCGTGAGAAGTTGCACCATGCAGTTTGTTACGAATTCCAGAAGGCTCGGTGATGAAAATATCTGTGCAAACATCAACTATTATTGTCCAAGTGTAGGGTTCATTGGAAAAATCGCAAGAGCAAGATTTCATGTCAACAAGGAAGCTCTAGATGAACAAATACTTACCAAAGACTAGTGGTAATGGGGATTTGGAATCAAATACACAGGAGCTGCACTAACTTGTAATGGCAAAAATCTACATCTGAAACCATTTTAGCAACAGGCATATTGAATGCAGCATTAACGGAGAGTCTCCATTCCTAGGAGAAGTAGTCACTCTGTTTTCCTGTTGACATACAGCTGCAGTAGCTGTGGGTGATTTTAATAAGACAGGATAATATTTCCATCAGCTTAAGGAGCTATAGATTGAACCCATATAGGCATCTGGTTCAGCTGCTGAATGATGAATCGCATCAAGTTACGAAGCTCATTTCAAATGAAATTGCACCCTCTCTTCAGTTTTAAGTCATGAAATGTCATACTTTGTTGATAAGGACAGGGCTCTCATTACTACTTAATACAGTTGAATTTGAATAAGGAGCAATTTGATGGCAGAAAGAACCTACCCTGTTCACAGAACAATGCACTGGGCATGACAGTATGGTTTCAGAGAAGTCCAAATTTCAGAGAAGTCGGAAATGTGCCCGTCTCACATTTAGGATTCAGCACAGATGCAAAACTCGGGAGAGCTGGCCAGGAGGCAATGCCCAGTCTTTTATAATAGCCCAGCCTGGAGCCACTTATGTTGAAGAGACAACTACACTGAGATGGTACAGCAGAGCACCGTGGGGAGATCCTTTCCATCTTTGACCTCCCTCATCCCTCTTCTCTCTTGGACCCCTACTATCACAGAGCCCAGGTGCTTCACAGTACTTGATGACATCCTTGCAAAGATGAAAGGGCCTTTACAGAGAGACTACAGCTCAGATCCCCCCAGGTAGATACTTGATTGACATCAGTGGTAGTTAGGCACCTTTTCACCAAGAATTAGGACCAACGTGACTTGCCCAGGGTCATGCACACAGCTTGGGGCATAATGGAGAACTGAACCCATGCCTCTCAGAGCTGAAGCTAAAGCTATAACCACTGGAGCATCCCAGCTTTCCAATCCATACTTTCCTTTCGCTCCTGAGTCCTCATCCACCTTCTCATTATGCCACTACCCCACATGCAAGTCAGAGACGGACTGCATTTCCAAGCATCAGGACCTAACTGCACCAGCCTCCCAGTAACATAATCCTTGTCCGCCCGTTCTCAGACTCAATTACCAGTTGTCCCTTGTTATGAAGCATCTATACTTAGGCCAGTTTCTCTGGGGGAGGGAATTTGAGCAAGTAGTTTCACGGCGCTGTATCAACACAGCCAAAAAGCATGACAGTGATGGAAGAGGCAGCAATGGGTCCCAAGAGATTTTACATCAACCATTTCTGGAGCATGCAACTAAAAACTTTTGCACGTTCTTAGAGCAGTGTGTCAATAGTCATCTTTGACAATGAACAGCATAGCCATGCATGTTCAAAGCAGATAGTGGACTTAACCCTGAATACACAAAATACCATCAGACTTATTTCAGGACTCCCCTTATTTGGAAGGAAAGAAAAATTCCACCCTGGTCCTCCCCCAACATACATACATGACAGCACCAGTCTGGTCAGAATGACTTAGCCACAACTTTAAGATCTAACCCTCCAAATCCCTGTTGGCCATTAATGTCTTAAGTCTCCTTGATTTAATGCTGCATTTTCTTAACCTTTAGCTTTCCCCTGGGTGTTACTTTGTGGGAAGTTTTCTGGGAAGCTGCCATGAAGGGTCTAGGAAAAAAGCAACAGTTTGATAGAATTAACTACCAAGGGCAGCAGTGGGGGGCTAAATCATTTTTCCTTTTTAATGAATAGGTTTATTGTCTCTCTCAATCTTTTTAAAATGAAGACAAGTAGCAGCAGAGAGAATGTGCTCCAGCATGGAGAGCAACTGCTAACTGTACAGAAGGGATGTGCACTGCCCGCTGTCATCTGTGGCACCTGCGGTACAATTGCTACTTCAATAGATGGGGAGATTTGTTTGGCCTGTACACCGCAGCCAAGTTAGTCGAGGGTGCTTTGGGAGTCTGAGCACCCAGACAAAAAGGCACCTGAAAGGCAGCCCTGATTTTCCAGACAGGCTCAACACCTCCCCTTGAAATACCAGACCCCATTCACTATCTGCGATTGCCCACCCCAAGCCCCCCGTCACTTTTGAGGATTTAGACCAATGACCTGAGACGGTTGATGGCACTTGGGATTCAGTTCCAGTAGGCTGAAGTGCTTGGAGACAGCCCAATTCATCATGAAGAGGTTATGGGTTTTTCTGCCTCCCCCTCCTTTAAAATAAGCTTTGTTTTCATTGTTTCCCTTAAGAGCCACTGCTCTTTCCAGAAGAATGATGAAAAGAAAGTCATTTTCTGAGATGTAATTTGGGTTTCTTTTGTATTCGCCACATCTCTATCCTCCCTCCCTCTCCCCATCCTAGGGAGGAGCACAGAGCTTATTGGTCTCATGCTCCCAGAAGCAAGGAAGCTACTGCGACCATCAGAAATCCTATTCATTCCCAGAGAGATCTTGCACTCCTGCCAAGAAATGCCCCTGGCAAGAGATCTGGAAAGCCTGTGGGAGTTTACATCCAGAGCAGCCTGCAAAGCATGAGTGGCACTCCTAGAAACCTAAATATGGGGTCATTTAGGAGACGATATTTCCCAGATGGCCAATTTTTTGTTTAGGCTCATGAGATGGTTACTTCAGCTGCTTTGCAAACTATGGACTCAATCCTCTGCCTCCCATGAAGACGTTAAACAGAAGTCTAATTCACTCAGTGCCTCAATGGATGTTTTTGCCGTGTTTAAAGAACCGACGGCACTTATTGCTTGCCCTTAGGTCCTGGCTATCTGGAGTAATTGCATCCTAGCATGTAAATGCCCTTGCAGCCTTGACTATAATTCCCTTCACTCTTAAGATAGCTGCTGTGTACGGTTAAACATATCACGCTTCACACCAAAGCCAACTGTATTTCAGTGAAGACTTATGTAAAGGCAAGATAGAGGTTTTCCGTCTTACTCTAATCCTTCAGTGGCATGCACGCAAAACACTAGCACGTGTGGAAAGGAGGAAGCACCCTTCGGATACATCCAATTTAAACCCAACATGAGAATTCTCCCTTTCATTTACTTATTTCCTAGTTATTAGAGGAAAAGCTTTTGTCCTTCTCAGTTTCTCATCACTCCTTGATCAAGTCGGCACTGCTGCTATAAGCCGTGCCAAGCTCCCAATGTACGGCTTGGCTCCAGACCCGTTTTTATTCCTATTGTGTATACAGTGCTAGTACCTAGAAGTCCCACTTATGGACTAGGCCCTCACTATATCAGGAACTGTACAGAAGTGAGCCCTGCAAAGAGACACATCCAGATCTCAGAAATGCCCAGGGTTTGTTGGTGCTCCAACCTATGGTTTTGGGTCAAGAAGGGCCCTTTACAAAGGTCTGATAAAGGCTGGGATTGTAATATCCCCACAGTGACCAATTTCTCTCTCGTACTACAAGCAGAAATGCATCTCAATTAAGTGTTATATCCTACCCCAGACCATTCAGCTCGGAGTTTTCCCTTTGCTATCAGCTGTTGCTTAAACTCATAGGATTCGCATTTTCAGAAAGCCACAGCTTCTGTGGGGCTCTGATACACCCAAGGACCCTTCTGAACCAGAATGCCCTTGTAAAGCTTTCTAAACCCTGAAGGCTGCATTGCCTGCCTGCAGATCTTATCAGTCATGGGAGAGTCAAGGTCTCTCCCCGCTCCATCCTATCACTTTAAACTTTAATCTGGTTCCTGTGCAACGCAGGCACTGCTGCAACGCATCTGCAATTTGTGAGAAAGCAGAGCGCCAGCAACACTTCTGTGACCAGCTCCCTCTATAATTGAATCTTCAAATCTTGTCTGACAGGAAGAGACAAGAGAGAAATGATGAGTTGGTTGCACAACCCCTGGATACTCCTGCTTTGTTACAGTGAGCGTCAGAGTCCTCCACAAGCCACTGGAACATGGTGAGCAATGCCCTCATGAGTAAATGAGCCCATCCCTCAATACCGCTGAGGTGCATTCTTTAATCATCGTTGCAATGGCAAATTAAACCCCATAACACACAGCATCTCACTACACTGAGCCTAGAGCGACCCCAGAGATGCTGGGGGGAAGCTTTGCTGGGACAGAAGAGTCGACATGACCCACTGTCTGCAGAAAGCCGTGTCTGTATGCAGCAGTAACGCCTTTCCCCATGCACCTGGGCAGACCCACAGCTTCAGCAGAGTGAGTTGGAGCTATGCAGCTCAGGTCTAAACCAGCGCAGATCTCAAGTACCCAGCAAAATGTAGAGGAGTTCGGACCTGGGTTCCCAGCATGTCTCATTATAGAGAGGGAATGTCTCTAAATTCAGATCCAAAACTTCTCCCCAAGCTCTAGGGAGCAAGTCTGGTTTGTTTTCTATTTTCGTAGCAGCTACACGCTGATAAGAAAATGCCACCACAGATTCTCAGTCGCATACAAATTCATTTCACAGCCCTTTCAGGCGAGGGTTGGAAAGGTTAAACCCCCACCCTTCTCAGCAGGGGGCTGTGCCCGTGGGCATTGATATTCCACTTCTACTTCTTAGTTTCACTCCCCACAAATAGGAAACACACCCACAGCTGGAAATCTCACCAAAAAACCCCCAAAGGTTGGGATCCTACCTGCATGCCAGACTGCTCTGCCAAACCACATGCTTTCCCTTCAGAGCTGCCAAAGGGCATCTTGGAGAAACCCTCATTCCTGAGCAGGATCTCAGCACAGAAGCATGGGCATACTTAGGCTGACAATGGATATACGGGCTGGCTGGACACAAAGGAGAAGGAACATGAGAATGGTTGGGAGGGAGAGTTGGTACAAAGGTAGGGTAATAACAAAGAGTGGATGGCCATTGAAGGGGGCTGGGGGAGAAGGAGAAGCACCTGGGGGAAGGGAAGGTAGCATCCATAATACTAGAAATCCATCCCACCAGACACATCTAGGCTTTTCAGAGTCCAGTTCCCTTCATCCTGGCTTCTAAATATAATTAATCCCCACTTAAGGCAACAAGGACTTCTTCACCCGCTCCCTCCCCTCCTCTCTCTCGAGAGTCTGTTTCTCATACAGAGCAGAGCAAATGGCTTCATTTGCCTCAGCTGAGGAGCCCTGCACAGGTGTGGGCTTGGCTCACAAGTAACAGGAACCCTCTCCCTGCCCACCCTTGAGCTGGGTCTGTGCAGTATGTCACTGTGAGGAAAGACAGAAAGAGAAGTCAGTGGGAAAGACGGCACAGGAAGGGAGAAAACTAAAGGATGGAGAGGGAGGAACAGCAGCTGTATGGGAAAAGAAAGACAAAGGGACCAAAGAAAGTCCCATTCTCAGGCACAGCACTGGGCAACTGTCCCAAGCATGAGCTGTTATTGCTGGGAAAGTATCATGCAAGATGGACCCCTACCCTGACCCAGTATGGCAGGTCCCTGGCCCCAGCCGGGAGGGGTTAAATGCCCAGGACTTTGCTTGCCTGCAAGCAAAAAGCCTCAGTTTCCCACATTTTTTTTCCTTTAAAAGAGACTCCATTTTTAAAGGTTAAACATTTAAACGCTTAAAAATGTTGATGCATTTTTAAAGTTTGGTTGCGACCCTTTCATATATTCTTGTGGCCCACTTTTGGGTTGCAACCCATGGGTTGAGAACTGCTGTCATAGCAGACCGGTTGTGCCTAAACACATCGTTGGCACTGATACAAATGGTGTCCTGGGGAGTGAGACAGGACAAACCCAGTGTCGGTGTTTCCCAGACCCTGGGAGGCTGCTGGGGGTGTTCGAGCAGAAGCAAGATTGGAAAGCAGAGAGAACAAGGGCCTTAATGATGTCCTTGCCTTGTGAGTAAACAGCACATTTCACCCTCCAGTTGTCTTGCTGAACATAAATGAGCTGAATGGTATTAAAATAAATGAATGTTAAGTAAGTGCATAACAATAACAAGGATTATTAACACACCAGGGAAAACTGTCCCTACCCTCTCAAGGAGCTCCTGGCTGCAGCCCAGGTCAGAAAATGAAAGCACAGACGGAGCTGGCAATGGGGCAGAGACGAACAAGGAAGGAGAGTGGGGCGACCCCGGGAGCTTCCACAGAGGAATGACCATGCCTAGAAAGAGAGAGCAGGCGCCTTGTGAAAAGCTAAATCCAGCCCAGAGGAATTCACAGAAACGTGATAAAAAAATTAGGGGGTCCATGAGAACCAGGCGAGGTTAAGAAAACATGGACCGATTCCACAGCTCCCGTCCCCGGGAAAAGGGAAGCAGTTCTGGAAGGGGAGGAGGGAAACGGCATCTGGAGAGCTAAAAATAATAGTATCCTGCCCCATTTCCACTGGCACTTGCACCTGAGCTCCCCAGACCAGTTTCAGTAAGCCCCCATGTTGGTTTAGTGCACCCACTTTCAAAGTTGGGGAAACTGTTGTCTTGACAAAGGTCTCACAGTAAGTCAGTAGCAGAGCCTAGGCCTCCAGAAACCAGGCCCCTGCTTCATGAATCACCATCAACTTCAAGCATGGAGGAATGGGTTTGGACCCAGCTGCTGCAGTGCCAAACCCCTCCTCCAACTACCAGGGCCTCAATTAACAAAGCACTTGAGCACCTGCTGTAAGGACAGCTACTTGTTTAAGCCTGCCCCTATCTCACCGTGCATAAATCCCATTGAAATCCATGGGAATTAAGCGTCTGCGTAAAGTTAAGCACATCCTTAATTGCTTTGCTGAACTGGGGCCTAGATTTAGTCTCAAAGGAAGTGAGAACCCAGCATCCTAGCCTGCGTCTTCCCAGAAGCTAAAAGATGCCTTAAGTGCCGCTTGTCTTTTTCAGCCCCAAATTTTGCTCCTCCTTTGTTCAAGCATCAGCTCTGCTTGTTTGAGACTTCTCAATAATTATTCATTTTCCAGGCTGGCACAGACAATCCTTGATGCGCAGGGCTTTTTTTTTTTTTTGGCTTTTTTTTTTAAGGCTTCTGCTGGGAAATCTTTGTAATTAATGGCCCTTTAAAGTAAAATATAATTAAAAATAATGTGGAGCATGTTGAACTCTGTTCGCAGATTACAAAATTGGAGCTTAGTAGCTTGATTGGGAGCTAGGGGAGGGATGTGCTCTGCAGAGACCCCATCTAACGGCTCACGCGCCTGCTGCCACGTGCCCATCAGACAGGGCAAGACCTAGACACTGTTGCCAGCTGGCGGGGGGGAGAGGGCACACAGTGGGGAGACCCTTTCTGCAGCAATTGAGAGTGCAGGGGGCATTCTGGCACGACTAGGAGGCAATCAGGGTGGAGGCTCAGGCTGCCTCAGCATTAGCAGGGATGAACTGATCGGTGGGTCTCCTCTGCACAGAGAGAGTCCTCCGGACTCACTATAGCTTCAGCAGGCAGGGGACAGGTCTATGCATGTGCCTTCTCACAAGCCAGTACTCTGGGCTTCTCCGCCCCGTCTTCTCTTCCTTCTCTCTCCATCCTCTGCTCCTGCCACCCCCAGCCCCGGGGCTTGCATTTAAATATCATTATGTCAGTGCTGTGGCTGGCGGCGCCCTCGCTCACGCGCTCTCTCTGGCCTCATTTAGATTGAAAACCATTTCCAATTCATAGAAAGTGTCAGGTTCGGGAGGGGGCGGGTGGAAAAAAGCCCTTGATGCAGTCGGGCGGTTTCCGTTTTCCTCCCAAATGGCCAGGCACCTGCACAGAGCTCAGCGGCAAGGTTTACACAGGGAAATTGTTATCCGGCTTCCCGGTTCTCTCACATCGCTGCAGTCACTACCGACTGCCCCCTTTTCTTGAGGTGGTTTTGCTTCCCTACCATGCCCAGGCTGTGGCTCTGCCAGGGACCAAGTGGTGACAGGCTCCTTGTCCTCCTTTGCCCGGGCTGTCCACATCATGGGTGGCTGGGTCTGGGGGGCTGAGGTGTCCCTGCTCCCTGGCGGGTGGGTGTCCCCTTCTCATCCACCTCTCTCCTGGCTAGTGCTGTTCTGCAGGGCAAGCACCTCATGCCACACACAGATCTAATCCCAAGCACTGCCATCCTCTGAAACCCAGATTGTGATGGTCAGAATGACTGCTGCAGGCAGCCAAGCCCTTCAGGACGAAGGACATATCTGCACCCCTCCACTGTACTCCTGGGATGCACATGCCACCTGCCCACTCTGGTGCTGCACACTCCCCACCCTGAAAGGAGATGAGTCTGCCTCGGGGACCCCCTCTGCCCTTGCTCTCTAACACATCGGAGACAGAGAACTTGAGCACAGAGCTGGGGGGCACCCGCAAGGCAGCTTCACGGCCTCATTTTGGACTGATGCAGGCAGACAGGGAGGGAGCGGGTGGGCCTGCTTCTCAGCAGTGCTCTCCGCAGGGCTATGGAAGCAGCAAAGACATCCCCGAGAGACTGAGCCTTCAGCCCTTACACAGCTGCCAGGTACCTCTGCCACTAACGATGCCGCTCCCAGGAGGATCAAACCCTCTCTTCTAGCATCCCCTCATGCTTCTACATTCAGAGCAAGAGGGGAACGGTCCAAGCTCTCCATCCTGTCCCTTGGGCATGGACCAGAAAGGACCATCCTCTCCCGCAGAAATTTCAAGAGTAACCAGTTCACTCTTGGGCTGGCTTCCTCTATTGCTGTCCGCAGATGTTGGATCTGCTTCAAACATCTGGCTCACCTTGTTCAAGAAAGGAGTTCAATCTGGGCCCTGCATGCAAGAGGTCTCAGATCTGTTCCTGGTTACACCTGAGCAAAGCTGGTGGGGGTGCTTGGGTGTAAGAGAGAAGAATTTGGTCCATTGACTTTTTGATGGAGTGACTTGATTTCTTCTCATCGGCCTTAGGCACACACGTACTTTTAAAGATATGAGCCCTCCTTCCCGTACCAGTTCCAGTGGGAAGAACAGCACCCTGGGACTCAGATTTGGATGCGTTTCCTGGCTTTACCCTAATAGATTCTTGGCATAACCTTGGACAAACCTCTTTGCTTTGCTTTGCCTCTGCTTGCTCTTCTATAAAGTTGGGGGTACTAATGCTTCCCTACCTTACAGAGGTGATGTGGAGGCAAATACATTAAATCTTGGAAGATGCTGAGCTACTGCAGTGATGGGGACACAGGTAGGTAGGTGAACCTGAACAGACTGGTGGCAACACCTGTAATGAATCTATCAGCATGTGTGGATTCTTCCAAGAGTAAAGCATTACTTTTATGCTTTAAAAAAAAATTCCCATCAAGGGGAACCTGACTGCTGAGTCTCCGTCTAAATTTTCAATCCCAAGTTACCCTTTTACAGAAATAGAGCACCACAGAAATATGCAAATGAGGAATGGCTCATTTAAATTTAATGCTGATGAGAAGATCTTCCTCCTCTTTCCAGCAGAGAGCAGATGTTCTTGTTTCACACACGCAAAGTGTCTCTAAATCACTTCCCCAGCATTGGGGTGGACAATATTGTCATTGTTTATAGATTATTAGTTGTCATCTTATAGCCAAACCTGACATTTTGCCTTTTTAAAGATACGTTTGGCTGGATCCTGGGTTCCTGCCACTGAATATATGCTGGCAATTCTGCCATTAGCCTCCTTCCAAGATGCTAAAAGGCTTTCCTTCTGGCACATAATTAAAACAGTACTCTGAATTTTCAGCAGCTTGCAACATCTTTGTGATATATAGGAACGAAGGCAGTTCTTCTCCATTTAGCCCAGCTCAGACATAACACCCCTCCTGAGAAAACTCTGTGTGCCTGTATGTGCATGTTTGAGTGACAGAGACAACGATGTGTGTGTGCATATGTGTGAAGGAAATCCAGAGAGAGAGTGTGCACAGGGATGGGTGTGGTTTTAAGATAGAGGAGATGGAAAAAGCTCGGGAGATGAAGTGAAAGAGGCTCTACGTTAAAGACAAGCACAGTCCACTTTCCAGCCAGCCTGCTTTCAAGACGCACGGCTGTGTCTAATATTCGGCTTACTCCCCTTCTCAAACGATTCATGACTCGATTTTCCAGAAGCGATGCACCGGCTTGTTCTGAGAGTTTTAGCTGATTCAACATCATTTAGCTGACTCGCACAGCCCATCCCTGCACCTTCTAAAGCGTGAATTATAATCACCTTAATGAATTCCCTGGGAAATACAAGAATTTTCCTTCTGTGTTTATACCTTTCAGACACATTTCACCGTGAAGATGAGAGTTGTTAGGGCATTGAAGAGAAGTAGAAAAGCAGATGCTTAAACATTGTTCAGTGCAGAACTATCAATGTGTGTGACAGTGAATCTAGACAGTCATGCACGGTACGAAAGAGAACCAGGAGCATGGGGAGATGCTTTCACTGGGTCGGAGCGGCTAGATGGCAGCTTGTACTTAGTTTGGAAGCTCTTTGGACAGAGACCATCTGGGTACAGCCCCAACACAAAGGGGCTTCATTCTGGGACTGAAGCCTCCTGATGCTACTGCAATAGATGCAATGAAGATGAGAGCATCTTTGTTTGGACTCCACCAGGAAGGGCCATAATCATGGTCCTTCTCAAGGTATAGGTGGCAGCAAAAAGCTGAAGAAGAGAAAGCCAGAAGTGCCTGGCTTTGGGTAGGGAAGGGGCAGGCAGATACCACCTCACTGGTTACATAGACATACACACTGGGGGGTAAAACTGATCCTGTTTAGAAGGCATATGTGGGGTTGAAACAAAGCATCGTCCTTGGGTTAATACCACGGACAGGGTAAGCATATCTGCACACACCCATGAGAAACTGAGGCGGGTGCAACAGGAGGCTCCAAGTAGTCCAGTTGCTCCAGACCCTGGAGGGTCGCATGTTTTTCTCATCGGCAACCCCCATGTGATGGGTTCTCGATAGCACTGAGTCCTAAAAGGGAGCAGTCAGAGCATAGCCATGCAAGGTCATCGGTCCGTTGTGCCACGGTTTGACTGGCACTAGATGCCGCTGCTAACGGCCCTGGATGAAGATAGCAGGGCTCCACGTTCCCAATCCATTACCTTCTTTCTCCAGCAAAAGTTGCTTGCAGAGACCCTCGATTGCCGAATGAGACACATGCGCTAGGGCACCCCACTGCCAGGCACCACAGATGGGAAATCTACAGGCCCCTTTAAAAACCGCTATTACTCTCATATAATGGTCACATTCACAAATTATTTTTTTTAAGGTAGCAAATGTATTTGGTAATGTCTGCGGAAACGTGACACCTTCCCGTACAGGAGGGAGCGAGCCCGGAGCGCAGAGTCAGCCAGGAATATGGAAACCAGATCCCCGGCCTAAGGATTCCAGTGGAAAGGAGTGTCCCCCTCTCATTTTGTTTTGTCTGCTTCAGTCTTGGAGGAAATTGAGAGGAAGACTCGAAGTGGCTCAGCCAAAAACACTTAGGCTCTGCTTCAAGCTCAGAGCCTCTTATTTCTTGGATTCGAATCCTTCTGGACTCTCAATATGGTAAGCGGGGGGAAAATGGAAGCACATGGAATAGGATTTCAAGTCCCCAAACCATGTGAGATCACCTGGAACCAGCTTACAGGAAACTTAAAACCCCTGAGGGGAGGAACTGGCTGGCCCCAGACCCACACTGAGCAAAAGAGAATACCAGCAGAAAACCTGAGCAGGCTCCACAACACAAAACCAGCTGCAAGAGGCCCCAAATCTAGCAAAGTGGGATTCACAGGTCCCCAAATGAGCTCCCTTGGGTATTCCCAGGATCCAAACCGTGCAGAGTAGGTCAGAGACTTCCAAAGAGCTATGAGAATTTACTCCAGGTGAGAATAGGACCCCCACACAACTAGAAGGTTGTCCACATATTGCTGCAGGCTTCGTGGAGTGATTTATGGTCCTAGCGCTCCCGCTCCGGCCAGCTGCAAGGAGTGTAAAGCCCCCTCCGGCTAGACCCGCAGTTTAAGCACAGCTTTGTCTTGTAAAGAAACAAAGGGGGGTGAGGGGGCCAGGTCTCAGTTCCCAGCTCAACCAATGGGAAGCCTGATCCAATGGGTTGCAGTGGTACCATCTTGCAGACAGATCTGGTTTCTGATGTGACCACTCACAGGAAACCCTCGGCAGCTGGGCTGGGGTACCTCCGAAACCAGCCTGAGACTAATGGAGAGCCTCTGTGTCAAGCTAGCCTGCGTTCCACTCGACGTGCAAGTTTGGGGCAATCACTACAAATGTTTGACACAGACCAATTAACTCTATTTTGGCTTCTGGTTATATTTACCATATGCTCTGTGTTAGGCATAACAAGCACTGACAGCTGCCTAGAGAAAGATTTTTCCTCCCGGTGCCTGATCTCACGATTGCTTGATGCCATATCAACCAGATCAACTGCCCCTACCTGCTATCTGGTAGGAGTGCAAGTCGTGGGAGATGCAACACATTTTCTGTCCTCTCCTCCCCTTGTGGAAGCAAAGCACTGCACAAGACAGCGGCCTGGCTTCAGATCAGAGCCGCATCGTTTCTGTGCAGGAAGATGCTGATGACTCTTTCTCCATGCTGTTAACATTTTTTTCAGCCTCAACTCCTGCTCGTTTTCTCACCTCCGCAGCAGCTAAACGGGAGAAAGTGCAGATTTCATTTTGGCAGAAGACGCGCTCCATGAAACAGCAGTTGTTAGGAGCAGAAACTGGGCCAGTTCTGGTCACATTTCCAACCTAGGCAAGGAAAGAAGCATTAGGGTTTAGAAGAGAAAACAGGACACATTGCCACAGTGAATCAAACCTCCACGCCATTAAGTCCTCCCCCAAGCGCTGCCACACACACGATACATCAAAGGAAGAACAAATGCAGGGAACCTCCCCAGGCAACTAGCTTATGGCGCCACACTGAATGCAAGAGCTGAACTGCTGTCGATCCATCAGATCTTGCAAACGGGCAGGTTCGTAGCATAAAACTACCTGGTCAAACATCAGGGGCCTGCAGCTGTCCCTATGAGAACATCCTTCAGCGGACAGAAGAGTTGCTTTGGTTGATCTGAGTTCAGTGGTTTTCACCTTTTTCATTTATGGACCCCTAAACAATTTCAAACGGAGATGCGGACCCCTTTGGAAATTTTGACTGAAGGTGCAGACCCCTTTGAATTGTTAAGTGTGGGTCTGCACATACTCTCGATTGATCATAGTCTTCTTTCGCAGACCCCTTAGACATAGCCTGAGGACCCCCAGGGTCTGCAGACCATAGGTTGGAAACCACTGATCTAGTTGATCGCTGTCATTATCAGTTCTATTTTCCCCACTGTTTTATTTGAATATGTCAGAGCTTCAGCAGACACGCTCAGCCACCTGCCACCTGTTCTTTGGACTTATGCCCTGAATGGCTCATAAAAGGGTTTGCTGACTATATTGGATCAATCATTATGCAAACATACGCTTCTCTCTGACTCCTGGGATGATTCCAACTGACCTTTAAGACTGCAGATGATATTCCTGCCTGGCAGAAGCCAACTTTTTCACTCAATGATTCTGCTAATTTTCATCTGAGTGTCTGCCTTATCACTCCTGGAGAGAGGCCCTAGAAAGGCTCTTGCTGAGCACTTTGTGGTTTATTTACAACAAGACAAGGAACATGATCGTCAGGCAGGGATTTGACTGCACCATAGCACTAATGCCATTGCCTTGGTTTCTCCCGGTCTTTGCTGGCACCCCTGGATCCTAAAACTGCCTGAACAGCTTTTTGGCCACCAGATCTCAGTAAGCTTTCTGGATCATCTGTTGGAAGTACCCAAAAAAGATTTAATGCTTCTTTAGAGCTATATGGCCTTTGGATACCACCATAGTGGGCAGTCTTAGAAAAACATCTTTGTGCCTTCTTTTGTTAGCTCTTTTTCAGAAGCATTAGGCTGTTCCCTCAGACCTACTTTTCTTCGACATTCACATGCTGCTACTTCTTGCTTGATGTTCTCCACCATACTTACCATAACAACTCATAACCATCTGACCATACAATGATAGAAAATGAGGGTTGGAAGGGACCTCAGGAGGTCACATCTAGTCCGACCACCTGCTCAAAGCAGGGCTATCCCCAACTACATCATCCCAGCCAAGGCTTTGTCTAGCCAGGTCTTAAAAGCCTTCAAGGATGGAGATTTCACCTCCTGTCTGGGTGACCTGTTCCAGTGCTTTTACTACTCTCCTAGTGAGAGAGTTTTTTCCTAATCTCTAACCTAAACTTCCCTTGTTGCAACATGAGACCATTGCTCCTTGGTCTGTCATCTGCCACCACTGAGAACAGTCCAGCTCCATCCTCTTGGGACCCCCCCTGCAGGTAGCTGAAGGCAGCTATTAAATCCCATCTCAGTCTTCTCTTCTCCAAACTAAATAAGCCCAGTTCTCTTGAGAAACCATCCCTTGAGAAACAATCTACCTACCAAATTGCTGTGTGCCATGCAGATGACAGTGATCTGTAGGTGGCAGATGTGGTGCCGGGGGTTTTCAGAGCTATTAGCTAGAGGCTAATTCTTATGGGTGACAGGTTGTGAAGCTTCCTTACTGGGATGGCATTGGATGAAGTGACCTGGTGAGTGTTTCCCTAACTAAGCTGCCAGGCAGCTACTATAGTTTGAATTGTGGGAGCTCATTGCCAGCTGAGACTGGATGCGGTTGTTCTGGGTGTGGAACGATAACTCTGAATTTGCAGCTGAGGAAGAGGAGGGATGTAACCACCAGAACACACAACCCCCCCTGTTGTGAGCTAGGCACTGCTGTGCAGAAATGCATGCAAAAGAACCACAAATGATGTGCAATTTTGGGATTACACCCTGCCATATGCCAGCTGCTCACAGTGTGACAGTATTTCCATGCCTGTGACACCTGGATCTTGCTCATCTCCAGGCCTGAGTGCTCGGCAGCAGCTTCATCTTTATTGCAGTGTCTGATACAGAGACTCCACTCAACGGCATTTACAACTTAACGGGAGCAGGGCTGAAAATAAGCCTCTGTGTAGGTGCCTGAGTGCACCACCTTTTGCCTGGCCACTCTCTCATCTCACAGCCCAGCACAAGCTCACAGCCTAACATTAACTTTCAGTACTATGCTTTGTACTCTGGTACTCCAGGTCTCAGTTCCCAGCTCAACCAACGGGAAGCCTGATCCAATGGGTTGCAGTGGTACCATCTTGCAGACAGATCTGGTTTCTGATGTGACCAGCATGGCCAGATCCCCACACTGGTGCAACTGGCAAAGCTCCGTTCAAGTCAATTGAACTACACCTGTTCCTATGCTTCATCTGACATCTGTTATTGGAGCCTTATTCTGTTTGGGGAACCATTGCCAGAGTGAAGCATGTCAGACAGACACCAAGGTGGTGGACTCTGCTCTCATCTCATCCATCTTGGATGGTAATAAATCTTCACTCACTAGGATACAGGGTAACATGCTCTAGGGGCTCCAGCTTGTACAGGCTGCCACAGCCTGGCTACAGGCTTATGCATGCTACATAGGCCTGCACCATTGTTCTTGCTCCCCAGAGACTCTACAAGGTACCTGTTATCTTGAACTTCTTCTGTGCCACCAACATACTCTTGCCCTGAGCTATGAGCCAAGCTTCGTTGCTACCAGACTTTGCCAGGCAGTTGGCAGTGGCCAGCTGTGGGCCATGCTCCTGCCTCTATTTCCTGAGGCTGTTGAAGTGGCATTCCTCCCTGTTACAGATGAAGCAAGGCTGGAAGATTAGACATGTGGCCTGGCCTGTTCTTGCGCAGCTGAGACAGGCCAGGGGTCCTCTGCAACTGAGATCCGCAGCCCAAGGGCTGGCTTGGCCTGCCTGGCTGCCTGGTGTTTCTTCGCATGCTGTTGCTGGGGCTTTCCTCTCCAGTAGGGAATAGAGAATAATGACTCTCCCCCATGCTTCCCACGCTCCCTGGAGGTCTGTGCATCCTTGGAGAGGACTCCAAAGCCTTGGCCACACCCCATATTAGAGGTGTCCCTTGCTGAAAGCCTTGCTGAACCAACCGACAGTCTAGGGTTTCAGGGTCAATTTGCAGCAAGGGTTCAGAAGTAGCTCTGGTGGGGAGGTCGCTGTGGCTGGGAGCTAATTAAGTGCAGCTGAGGCTTTTGGGCTTGACATCCTAGCAGAAAAAGGGCTTGTATTCAGAGGCTCTGTCTCTGTGGGTTTCTCTTTTCTCCCTAAATTTCCCACTATTGTTGGAGCTGAACCACTAGGAAAACTGCAGGAAACCAGGGCCTGGAGGCTACCTGTGCTCTTCTATCAAACTGCTTAGATCTGCTCATGGGATGAGACACCAGACACCCTGAGGGCTCTGTCTATGTTGGCTCTCCTGCCAGAGCTGCCATCAACTCAGCTAAGCCACAGGGAGCAAGAAGGAGAGGGATTTTTGGTACCAAGAATGAAGGAGGGGTTTGCAAAGGTGTGAAGGACATTCAGGTCCTCCCCTCCCATCCCAAAGAAAGACAAGTGCTTCACTCCCTTGAAAGCCCCTGTCCTACTCCAGAGATGAAGTTGTGCTTGCGGTGGGAGCTGTGAACAGTTGGAGTCACTGTCCTGCGGGGCTACTGGAAAGATATGGTGAAGAGGTAAGTGTCTGTGTAACTGGAGGATAAAGTCCATATGGCCATAGCTCCAACCTAAGTGTCATGCATCTTTGTAATCTCCAGCTAACATCATACACCAGATTGAACAGAGACCCATACAATCACAGGCTACCTCTGCCAAAAGGACGCAGGGGTCAAGAAAGGCACCTGGGCAAGGCCTCCAACTCCGCAACAGAGCCAGCACAAAGAGGCCCAGAACCACAGACAGCCTGGACCAAACCACTACCATGAGCCTAGCCTGCAACAGGGGGTGAGGATAGGCCAGGAAGGGGCTCCGAGGTGAGGCTCCCCAGACAACACCACCAGATTTCATAGATTTCATAGACATTACGGCTGGAAGGGACCTCAGAAGATCATCGAGTCCAGCCCCCTGCCCCAGGGGCAGGAAGTCAGCTGGGGTCAAAGGATCCCAGCAAGATAGGCATCCAAATGTTGGCTTCTTCAAGGTGCCTCACCACCCTGCTCCACTCAAAGAGAAGGAAAAGGTAGGGAAGGATGTATACTTTGGTAAAAGAGCAGAGGCTGCAACATCTTTACCCAGCCCTTTGCCAAATACCACTCTTCCAGGAATTCACCGGGGTGGAGGATCACCTGGGAAAGCAGACTCCAAAGCTTCCTCCCGGCTTCCAGCTTAGATCAGAAACCGGGGAGAAACAAGTTAATTCCCCGCTCTATACAATGGACCTCAAGCAGAGGGCATTATTCTCCCCAGAAGCTTCACAGCTGCTCTGATGAAACAGTTCAGTCCAATTAAATAAGCACTGGATAAGTATTTCATGCCATACCACAATGAAGTTTTTGAGCAGACACAATTTCACTTACACAAGCAAGAGAAGGGTGAGTCAGTGGATGATTTCATATAATAACCCTGTACAACCTCATCCGGTCCCATAACTATAGGGAGATGAATGAAGCCATCCTCAAACACAGGTCCAGTGCAGAGCCGGGGGACAGCCAGCTATCCAAATCGGTCTTAGCCATGAACATAACCCTCAGGAATCAGGATATACAAGACAGGTGCACCACCTCCATGCAATGTGCAGCAGCACTGTCATGAAATATGTCCCACCCACTCACTTCTGTTCCGCACAGATCAACTTCCTAAAGCCAGGCAAGGTAGTTGCCTTTGCTCTGCTCTTCATACCTCTTTGTCCCAGTGTCAGGTATGTTGAGGGTTCTCAGCTGGTTGTATTGCCTCACCTCATTTCTAGGATTTGGCATCGGAAGCAAGGGGACAGAGCATGCTTTGCAGCCTTGCCCTTGGGTGCAGCACAGAGGCAGGGATAGACATGTCCCAAGTAGCAGCAGACTCTTCTCAGGAAGAGCACTGAAGGTCTTAGAAGCCATAGACACAGGGAGGAAAATATGCATGGATGCCCAGAACAATACCCACCCAGGCCAGGACAAGCACTAAATGATCCAAGAAGGAAATGCTAGGATGAAGTAAAGGAAAGAAATATAACCAAACCATGGTATGGCAAACCTCCTCAAAGGAAATGGCTTTGTCCTGCAAGGGATACTGCATGCAGGAAATGTCTAAAAGCAGGATGTTGCACAGCAGTCTGCTGCTCTAAGCCCAGGATAATCACCCTCTTTAAAGAAGACACCCAATAAATACTAAGATTACACCTCTTGGAACCACAAGAGATAGTCCAAAAGACCCATCATTGGCTACCACAATTTCCTTGGTTAAAAACAGATTTCAGAATAGATACAGGTGATGGTATAATTGCTTCCAGAATCACTTTTACAGGAGAATGAAAACATGAGAGCCAAAAGAGGTATTGGCAAGCCCAGAATAATCCCTATTAAACGTGAAAGGCAAAAAAAAATGTGGCCACTCTAAAACACAGATTATTTTTTTCTCCTAATCTCAAGGAATCTATGCTGCAGGTGTTCTGTGCACTGGTATATGGGATGCCCCACAATCACAACTGGTCATAAAGATAGAACTAGTGACCATGGACCTAGAGCTTGAGTTCTGGATACAGTTCCTCAAAGTTATCCTGAGGACTGGGGATGACAGGGGAGAATGCCATGCCAAATGCAAAGCTGTTGGCCCTATCAAGCCCTTGCAGGGCCTACCTTGCCTTGATGTCCAGGGTGAAAGCAGTGCTCAACCACATGGTACAGGACAGACACCTCAGCTGACTGGCCTGTAGACATGGGAGTGGTCCCAAGAACACATGGCAAGGTCTGGATCTGTATAGGCCTTACTGAGTGCATTAAGCATATCTTGACATGGGTGCCCATGCTCTGCCCACCTCCTGGGACAATTTAGCAAAGCAAAAATCTTCTCCAAATTGCATCTCCAGTCTGAGTCCTGCCAGATAGACTGGCTGCAGTATGTACATTACTAATGGCTTTCATCACACTTCCAATCAACTCCCCATTGCCACATCATCTGTTCCCAAATGTTTCAAGAGGAAAATATCATAACGCTGAGAAGGTCTGAAAAGGGTTCGCTGATAAAGGAGCCATATCCAATCACCTCCACCTACCAATCACCTCCAAGTCCATGGGACCAGCATCTCTTTCCAGTTCAGGAAATGCTGAGGACAGCAGGCCTGAGACTTGAAAGTACCAACACTCATGAAAAGATCAGGTTTCTATGCCAGCTCTTAGATGAAACAGGAACCATACCAGGTTCAGACAGCATGCATTACCCAGATGAAAAGGGCCTCCGAACGCCAGGGAAGTATATCGCTTCATGGACGTGCTGGCACCGTTGGATAAATTCTTTCCTCACCTGGGAAAGCCATAGCAAACTCTCCAGAGTCCACAAAACTCTTTGTCTTGAGGAACTAAACAGAACCAGACATTCAGAAAGATGAAGAATGACCTGAGCACTTCAACAGTTTGGGCCCTCTAGCCACAGTGTCAGATGATGCCTCATCCTATGGAGGTAATGGCACTGTTTCAGGAACAATGCCCTGAACTGTGGTGTCCAGTAGCACCTCTCTCACATCTTGCCCATATGAGGTACAAAGCCCTAGCCACTATCTGAGGTTTTGAATATTTGGGGGACTTTCTAATAGGCCTAAAAAAAAAAAGGTGTGTTACTAGATGCTCTTCTAGGTTTAAAAAAGACAACCCCCCCCCCCCCCCCAACCAAAAAAACCCCCAAACCAAACAAACCCAAAAACCAAAACTTAAAATGAGTTACCACCTAGGATGCATCATTTCTGAGTCAGACTCCGGAGGTTTCAGTTCTCAATTGCCCATATACCTGGGAGGAAGCTCATCACATCTGGTTCATTCTCCAGGGCGCCAGTCACACCACAGCTTGAGAGCAAATGGAAGGAGTTGCTAATAAAAGGTTTTGTAGTTGCAATATTTACTATTTTACCATCACAGAAAGACGCCTGCAGGAACATACGGCAAGGAGCAGCTACAAAACCGAGCCAAGTATGACTCAAGGGAAAAAGGGTTGGACAAAAAGAGACAGAAACCTCCACGAAAACCAGACTGGGCAGCTGCTGGGGCTCTTACCATAAACTGAGCCCTGTAGTTGAAGGGGTCCAGCTTGGTTAGCCCTACATCAATGCAACTGGAAATACTTGACAGACTGCATGAGGCATAACAAAATGCTAGGAAAGAACGAAACAATCTGTGTGGTGGCTTGGGGTGAGCAAACAACTACAGCACAGAGTTAAGAAATGTGATATTGTGTTTTCATGAGAACCAACCTCCCTGGAACCATTATTACCATCTGCTCTGCCAGGCAGGCCCCGGCAGAAAGTCACGACTGATCTTTTCTATCTGGATAACTTGGGATGACACGATTTCCTCAAGGTACGTTGAAGCTGCGAGGTTGCCTGGCATCACATTAAGGGCAGCGTGGAGACAATCAAGCCCGGCTTCCCACGGCGGGTGAGCATAGAGTAAGTCAACTCCCTCAAGAAACCCGTTTTCCTTTGAGACCTTGAAGGAGTTTGCAGACACCAATGGATCCCGTCACAAGGCTGTAATTCTTATGTTGTGTTGATATTTCATTCCTGTTAGACGGTGTTCTTCAATGACAAGCTTGGATGAGAGCTCCAACAATCTTCCTGTTAAGAAACATGGGTGTGAAGTTAGGTAAGTATGTTTAAAGCCACTATGCAGGGTGGCCGGCCACTAGGGACTAGGTAGGAAGGAGGTAAAAGTCTTGCACCGAGCCCACCACGGTGTCCTGCATCTCTCATGTCCAGAGCATTGGACAGAATAGGGAGCTTGGGGACAATGCAGGAGTCACCCTGCTTGGGGTTGGTAGATATAGGAGTTTTCTGGCTCTCAGATTGCAAAGGGGGGGGGATGCAGCTGCCAGAAAATGCACCAGTTTTGTGTTATTTTTGGTTAAACCAGAACCTCCCTCCCTGCCAGAGAAAACCCACACCTGAGCCAGAGAAAGTTATCTGCATTTCATCCCGTACCTCCAAAGAACCCTCTCTTCCCCTCACCTCCCACTTTCTGCCCTTGGCCCTCACCCAGCACCTTTATGTGACCCACCCACAACTCCCTCTTGCTTCAAACCCACCCAAAGGCCTGAGCTGCAGCCCCGTGCCCCATGCCATACCCAGTCACTGAACCCCAGCGGTGCCTAAACAGCACAACTTGCAGACTGAGGTTCCTTAACAGCAAAACCCTACTAAGTATTGTCCAACACAGGGTAAACCCTGCTCTCTCACCGGTGCGACTCTGAAGCATCTCCCTGGGAGACGGCAGAGCTGACCCAGACTTTCATTCAAGATGGGGTCATTGCGTTTTTCTGCGCAGGATGCTCGGATGACTAAGAACATGTTACCGCTCCGCTAACCAGCTAAGAAGAGTTAATGGCATTAACTGTTTTGTTGCTTTTTTTTAAAGGTCTGGCTTTCTATCTGTCATTAACATGAGATTGCATAACAGAGGATAAATCTGAATGAAGTTAATACCCACAGAGCGTGGTGCAGAATATTCATGCAGTGGGAACCAAAATGAGGCAAATGCGAATCTTTATTACCAGTGGAGGCTGTTAAATATTTATATTTTCTGTTTGAGACGCACTGTGACACATGAAACTCAGTTATCATATAACTAAAACCCATACTAAATTATAGATAAATGGCAGCAAATGAAGGGGAGCAGTCTGAACTTCACAATGCACAACCCTGGGAAAAAAATAATAAACTTCAGGGGAACAATGAAGCGGCGCCTGTCAGATAACATTGTCTGAGCTGCCTTCATTCTTCAGTGACAGAACAATTACAAGCAGTAGAGTGCAAGGCATCTTCCGAGTGCAGCCTTCTTTTGTTTGTCCACGGTTGTCCTTGTAGGAAGATGCAATAGAGACACTGGGGAATGTACACAGAGACAATACAGACTTTACCAAGAGCCTTGGCAGGGGTAAGTCAGCATAGATCCATTGTCAGTGGAGTCACAAAAAGGAGGATCTGACTCCCCCCTTCCCCTCCTGCCAGCTGTGTGCCAGTCACCTATGGCATAGAGAGCCCAGTCCCTCGTTTGACATCCGTTATGGACAGATTCTGTCATCCAACTGATGCTTTTTCTATATGCTAGGTGGAAGCCTTATGACCCTACCAACCAACCAAAAAAAAAAAAAAATCCCGAGCAAAAGTACTACCAGAAATGCCTGCTGGGGGGTTTATGCGGCAGTATAAAAACCTAAAATAAAGCAATCAGCTAGGAAAAAATGAAGAATCACTGGAGGAGTGAAGTGGGGGGGGGGGGGGGGGGGGAGGCGGTGGGAAACATAGAAAGACCCTTCTAGGAGTTGTGGGCACTGGTCAGTGTGGTTTGTTTAGCCGTTGTGTAAGATGAGCAGTTTTGTGCGTTTTCCTGTTTGTACATGGAGAAATGGTCTTTTAATAGCTGATTTTTTTCTCCCCCCTCGAGGTGACCCTGAGAAAAGCCTTAGAGACAATGAAATCTGCTGGCATGAACAGGACTTTGTGAGAGATGGACAAAGATTGCTGTTTCTGGAGACTTTCCCATGAGCTGACAAGGGGGGAGCCTTTCCCACCTCCATTTCTTCTTCTGGTCCCTTCCCTCCTGGTTTATGATTTTTGCAGGAAGGCAGGACGGTTCCTTGTTGGCTGCGAGTCTCCCTTGTGCTTCCTACTGCTGCTGCTTACTCTTCCTGGGAAACCACAAACTTTTCCTAACGCCATCATGATCGGTGGCTGCGGAGGTCAAACGTTAATGTGGTACTACATGAGGAACGAGCAGAGAACCCCAAAAGATAAAAAGATCAGAGTTTGTGCTTATTTTTAATCCAAGTGTTCCTAGTAATAAAAACCACAAGGAAAAAGGAACACCAGATGTCAGGCAGAAAATACACAGGGCCAATTCCCGGTATCGGCTTTTGTTTTTCCTCGCGGATTGATTTCGAAGGACTTGTGCTGGGGATGGCTTCAGGACACTTGGTTTAAGCAGAAAAATCTTCCACAGGTTTCTGTGAACCAAGCTTTAAATGAAGGTTTTCTAGGAGCAAGGCCTGCTAATTTAGGGCAACGCTGGACAACACCGCTCCCCGCTCACTTCACAGCTCCCCTTCCCCACTTCCACAGCACCAAATGCTGCCAGAATTGTGGGCTTTCAAGTCCAATGAGTAATTAATACCAAAAATCATTCATTCCAGGGGCACAGAGGTCTCTGTCGCATAGTTTCCTTCAGCTTTGGCAAGTAGAAATTAGATGCGTGTCTCTCTCTTTGGGCTGTAAAGCATACCAATTCATACCAGCCCCTGTCCGCATATTGTAACCAGCAGGCTATGGGTTTTGGGGGGTTTTTTGGTTGGTGGTGGTGTCTTTCTAAAATCAAATGGAAAACAAGATTCCAAAACTGGCTTGTGCATTAGAAAAGCGCATAAGATTAGGGAAAAGGTCTAGCTATACAACTGGGGGTAAAAGACAGCGGACGGTTCAGGGAGCACGTCTCCGCAGGTGACCCAGATGCATTCAAGTGGTTAAAGAGCTGAAGGAATCACAGGTTCTCTTTCCATTTCACTCTGGTGTAAATGTACAGCAGTGCCCTCTACTGGAAACGATTGGGACCACACAACTGTGTGTCACGGACTCTGTATTGCAAACGGTTAAGAGTGATTCTCGTTACACTCCTGCAGAGTAGGAATGAATTTTGTAGCAGCGGGTTCTGAGTTCTGCCTCTGTCGTCACTGTCCGGTTCCTCAGCGGGTGTGGATTCATTTCAGTCTGAAAGAAGGCCAAAGGGGAAAAAGGAAATCAGACTCAGCCCCTCCCAGAAGTCAAAGGTCTAGGGAAGAACAAAGCTGCAAAAGGGCTGGACTTTGTTAAAAGTTGCGTACGAGCACTTAGCCGGATGAAAGAAATCTGAGCTCAGGAAAAGTCACAAAAGGGAATGTTGCAATTCTCTTGTCCCCGGCACATCCAAGGACCACATGTCCAGCTCTGTGTGGGAGCAGTGCCGGAGAGAGCCAGGCATCTCTATTCGCCCCAGGGGAGAGACTCCGGGGAGTGGTGCATATGTGCACACATGCAGACATAGCCACGAGCACGCACATGTATCACTGCACACAAAACCAGCCCCCCAGGTTCATGCCACAGAAGTGTCACCAGCGCTTATGAGAGTGGACCACAGAGAACTGCCCAAACAGATCAGGCTCTGGGAGCGCGCTAAAAGAGGCTAGTTGGTCATCCAGAGCAACACTGCACTGCTACAATTGAAAGGACAGACAGACCAGTCGCTGCCTCTACACTTACCCTGTGATCTCTGCTCCTTTACTGTCACCACCTCCTGTGATCCGATCCCAGCAGTTTACCTCCTTGTGGCTTTGACTTTTGCCTTCCGATTTGCCCATGAGGTTCCCCCGGCACAGAGAAAGCAGTGAGCCACCATTACCCCTGCACAAGGCAAGTAAAGCCCAGTCAACACGCCTGGATACTTGGGTGATGGATGCTGCAGAGCTGCTAGGCCTGCATCAAGGAGAAGCATGAGGGTCGGACCCCCAGGCACAAAGGCACACGCTTTGTGGCTCTCAGCTGTGGTCAGGCAGCCTCACCTGCTGCAGCCCAGCTTCTCCAGTACCACCTCCCGTGAGTCCCTGGCTCCATCTGCAGCTCTCCAGCCCTGGGCATCTGTGCTGGGACCGAGACATGTTGAATCAGGGAGGACTCAGCAAACTACCAACAATTACAGTGCAGAGAGGTGGATTTGGAGACTGGCTGTTACACTCACAAGGGCTGGAGATTTTTTTTTTCTCCCCACGTTGAATTTTCTCTGAAGGATGAAGTGGCATTAGTCCTGTCACCAGCCTCTTCCCATGTAGCAGGGCAGGGAACAGAGCCGAGCACAGGGCTTGGGAGTACTAAACCTGGAGATCAGTTGCTTCGGGACTTCAGAGTTGTCCCTTTTATGAACTGGCTCCCACTGGGCTTAGCCTGTGGCCATGAGGACTGGGATTAGGGCACCGGGATGGATCCAACCCATGAGAGTTGCAGCCATTAACGTGGGCGTTGGTACAATTACCTGCAAGCTCTCCTGCCCACGCATCCTCACACAGCAGCAGCCCTGTCTCCACACATTGCTTCAGAGTTGGTAAATGCAAACAGCAGGATCTCCAGGCACGCTGTTAATAGCCGGTGTTAGAAAGCTGAGGGCAGCTACAGCTTGGAAAACTCCTCTCCGATTCCCACCCCAGAGCAGATTTCCTGCAGAGAGCAGCTGAGCTGCTTACTGCTCACTTCAGATTTCCCAGGGGATGGAGATCCTTGAGCCTGGGGGTAAAGAATACCCCACCAAGATCTTGCTGCCCCTCGCCCATCCTATTTCCCTTCTGCTCACACCCCGGGGCGACACTGCCCAGAGCACCCTGCAAAGCACTGCCCCTCTACAACGGGCACAGGGAATCCAGAGTTTTCTCCGGCTTGGTTTTTAGACATGCCCCCTTGCTCCAGGCCAGCCCGAGGTTTTCCTATCTCCCCATCACGCCTCTGCATTCACCCTGTGCTTGCAGAGAGCAGACAGTAATTGTAGAGTAAATTGTATTTGAGAACTACAGAGCACCTCAGCTCATCAGTCACTTCCCAGGAAACAGCCATTGCACTGTCAGCTCCTTCCCTTCCATCGCTCCCCAAAGAAGCATTCAGTGACATGGGGGCTCGGAGGGCTCTCTGCGGGGCTGGCCCAAGCGTCTCCAGTGCCCATTATAAAATAAGAGGGGGTGGTCCACATACACCATCATAAGGGACTCACCCAAGGGAAAGTCTGAGCCAGAATACCAAGGACACAACGAACAAGGCAGGAAGGAAGGAGCTCTGGCAGGGGTGGGCACAGCTGGCCTCGGCGGCTGGGGCCAAGCCATGGGCGGGTAGGAAAGAAGCAGGGAGAAAGGTCTAGAGCTGCAGGGACAGCGAGCATTTGCCCACCCCAGAGGACACCAGTGTGGGCGCACAGGCTGGACAGAGGTGCCTAGGGCACCGAGGTATTGGGGTGCGGTACCCCAGAATCAAGGAGAGCAGCACGTCTGCGGAGAAACCCAAAAGCCAGGCTCTGGCTTGTATGCAGCCCCAGTTACCAGCTAGTCCTCAAAGGATATGTGGGGAGACAGGGCAGCTACAGCTACCAGGCCCTCCAAAAGCTGCCCTCTCCCAGCACCACAACGCCCTTCCCATCCCAGCACCCAAGCTTGCCCGGTTGCCCTCCGAGCGCTTCCTATAGGCACCCTTCCCCTGCCCCATGGGGTGGGATGATTCCCCAAGGGTCTCAGAAACCCCCTTGGGTCTCCGCGACCTCCTCCTCACATCCTCGCGGGTCAAATCCAGCCCCTCCCAGTGCAAGACCCCTTCTCGGCCGGACTGAACTGGGGCAGCTGGGCAGGAGCGCCGCTAGCTGCGGGCGAGGGGAGTTCACGGGCTCCAAGGCTCTTACATAACAGCCTTCCCCCTCCCTCCCCCATCGCACGCAGGCAGCCGCTGACAGATTGGCGCAGGCTATTAGGGGACTGAAAGGCTTGGGTTTTAATTCCATAATTATTTGCTCTGGGAGAGCTAGCCGCGAGCGCTTTGAAGGAGCCTGGGGAGGGAGGGACTGCGTGGAGGAGAGAGGTATCTCCCATTCAGGCTGAGTTCAAGGGCAGCAGCTGTGTTGTCGGAGGTGCCCTCAGCTGGGGGACTCCATCCTGCCCCACCCCGGGGGGCACAGACAGGCTCCGGGGTCATTTGGGCCCGCTGCGGCCCTGACCCCCGGCGGTCTCACTCTCCCCCGGGCTGCACCGGGTTCCCCGTGAAGCAGGGATTCCCCCTCAGCACTGCGGCTGGCAGGTGCATCTCAATGAGCCAGCCAGGCTTTTCCTTCCATCCACCCTGGGATTGCACGATCGGCTCCCGCACAATGCAGCGTTGCTATGGAAATGGGCTCTGTGCATAAACAGTCTGCGCTGTTGTTCTTCCCGTCAGCGAAGGGACCGCGGGGAACTCGCCTCCCCCCTCCCCGGGCCGGGAGCAGAACCCGCTGTGGTCCCACGCCAGCGCCTGGCAAGGGACCAGGAAAGGACTCCGGGCGTCCCCTTTCCCCCTCTCCAGGGTTCGGTTGTCCCTCAGCCTCCTCGCCCTGCCAGGCAGCTGTGCATCACGCCTCGGTGTGCTGGGGATGCGAGGAAACCCCGAGCAGCCCCTTAAAGCATCTGGAGGAGCACGGAAGAAAGGAGGAGACATTCCTGCATGCCAGGAACAAACCCCAAAACCTCCAGCCCGACAGCGGGAACACACAGCGTGAGGGCTGGGGTCAGGCGGGTGCTGCATTCCTG